GAGCCAATGATCAATCGACTTGAAGACAACCCGACCACGCCCGCCCCAACAAGACGCAACGCCACCGAAGCACCATCGGCCCCAACGCGCGCATCGTCCCGACTCCGCAAACCCAACCCACGATACCTCAACTTCGCGGCCAATGCCGTCGAACAACCCTTGGACGCTTCACTAGAAGGCTACCATCAAGAAGAAATCCAAGAAGACAGCGCCACCTACCGCATCGGCAACATGGAATTCGCGTGTGCCACAGTCCCCATCCAACTGCACCCCGTTCCCAACAGCCACAAGGAAGCGATGGCCTCCCCCGAATGGCGCCACTGGAAAGCCGCTGAAGAAACAGAAGTCGCACAGCTCCTGAAACTACAATGCTGGACAATCAGCGAACCACCCAAAGACCGCAAGGTCATCGGCGGCAGATGGACTTACGCACACAAGACAGACGCGGAAGTCAACGTCGTACGATGAAAAGCACGCTGGGTCCTCAAGGGATTCGACCAGATCGCAGGCGTCGACTACGACGAGTCGTCGTCCAACGTCATCAAGATGACGTCAGTCCGCGCAATCTGCGCCGTCGCCACCGCACGCGACATGGTCCTTGAACAAGCAGATGCCGTCAACGCCTACATTCAAGCCAAGTTAGAACGGCCAATCTGGGCTGTCGAACCCGAAGGTTACGTAACATCACCTGGCAATGTCGCCCTCTTCAAGATGGCATTATACGGACTCAACCAAAGCGGCCACGAGTGGGAAGTCCACTGCTAGAAGCAGATTGCCGAACTCGGCTGGAAACAAAGTCCGCACGACCCATGCGTCTTCACCCACGGACGCGACGCCGACATGGAGATCCTGGGAACGTACGTCGACGATTTCATCGCGGCCGCACCTACGCAATATAAGATGGACAGTATAATGAACCAGATGTCAAGCAAGATGAACCTGAAGCTCCAAGGCCCACTGCACTACATGCTCGGTGTGCGCATCTCACGCGACCAAGACAACCGACGACTTACCATGACCCAAGACGCATATGCCGACAAAGTCCTCGACCGTTTCAACATGTCAAAATGCCACCCCGTGGCGACACCCGAAGTCGCCGACCAAGAAGACCTATGGCACGATGAAAATTAACATGTGTCGATCAAGGGGAGTATCGAGCAATCATCGGATCCCTCGTTTACCTGATGGTATGCACGCGCCCCGACATTGCCCATGCCGTCCAGCGACTGTCCTGCCATCTACACGCACTAAGAGCGCCGCACATGGTCGGCGCCAAACGCATACCTAGCAGGGACAATGCCACTCGGCATCCAATTTGGCAATGGAGACGCAAGCTGGGCCACTCGACCCGACCGCCGATCGACCACCGGCTTCTGTTGGCTGTTCCTTGGTGGCATGTTGGTCTGGAAAAGCATCCGACAACGGATCACGGCTCTGTCCAGCTGCGAGGCGGAGTACATCGCCGCAGCCGAAGCCGCATGCAAATCCACCTGGCTCCGCGGTCTCATGGCCGACCTTGGCTCCCGCCAAGACACCGTCACACTGTGCTGCGACAACATGTCCGCAATCGCCACGGCCAAGTCTACGGCGATCAATGAGCGCACCAAACACATTGACGTCCGACACCATTACCTTCGTGAGCTTGTCCGCAGCGGCGCCCTGTCCATGTCCTTCGTCCCGACCGCCGAGATGGTCGCCGACGCCTTGACCAAGACCGCAAAAAAACACTCCATGCAAAAGTTCATGGCTTGAACGATGGTCACACGGAAAAAGTCCCAACCCGACATCACGTCACATGATGTAAGCCGCGTCTCAGGAGAGAACGTCCCACCAGCAACTGCCGGAACCCAAGGAACTATCAAATGGACCGTCCAACGAACCGCCAAAGTGGACCACCGAACAAGTCTCCCACCCGTCATCAGGTTTAGGGGAGTATTGAAGATTCGGCAATGTGACATCACCAACGACCCACATGTGATTGGCCGAACCGGAACCCTGAATGCCGGAGAGACGTCGGACAAGGCAAGGGATATGTCAACATGATCCACGTATGCATGAACTCAAGAGACGTAGGAAGACACAAAGTAAAAAGATCATCTTAGCAACATAATGTCCTAATCACTTTTCGATTTGCCTCCTTGGACCTAAGTCGCCTGCAAACGCTCGCCGATGTTCCTCGACCGCCCTATCGGATACCGCATTGATTCTACAGGATCATGGTGTTGACGACAAGGCGTCGACCTTTCAACGTGAGAGCTCTGTATCACCATGTGATGGAGGACTGGTAGAACGTGTCGGAGACTAAATTCAGCTGCACTTGAGACATGAGCTAGTGACCGAGGCGGATGCCCAAGGTGTGGGAACTGCGCACCATGTTCAACCTGTTTAAAAAATCATCCGTACGCGACATTTCTGAAAGCAATCCACCCCCGTAGAGTTAGCCCTATCAGCTGGAAACTGAGAAAAGGCAATATTAAGTTAGTAGTATATGCGGTCAAAATCTACAGTATCATACACCTCTCTTGACAATATGCTATAACGTCGAGTACTTCTGAAGACATTTTGTCGATCATATTGGCTCTCACCTTCCAATTACTCAAATCTACCCCTATGAATTCGATCACAGCCAAACAGCGCCTGGCGTCGCCTTGATGAACGCATTGATGTTCAATCTGTCCATTCCAACCCAGGCTTCTATGATGTTGTAAGGCTAGAAACGGTTTGTAGCGTACACTCGACGGAAAAGTATATCCCATAGATTCTCGATGGGGTTGAAGTCGTGGGACAGTGTGGGCAATCTAAAGGGTGGCATTTTCACAAAAATACTCTACCGCGTACTTTGATTCTATGGATGAATTCCTCAGCTCATGGGCTAAGGGGGGCAGAGTCTTTCCACGTATGCAAGCAAGTCTTGGTTGTGGAATGAAGGGCCAACTCAGATAAATCAAGTGACGAGAATGCACCCCAAACCATGGCACCACTACGACATGTGATGAACATGTCGGGTTCCTTTCGCAGATTGTGGTAAAACTATTGTAACCCATCATGACCACCAATGTTAAACGATTCTCATCGGACCATATATTTCTGCCCAAGCCGAGGGTTCATAATGTTGTTTCTAGAGTACAGGGAACGACGGAATGCAACGGCAATGTGGCACTTCGAGTTGACGAAAAAGTACAGAGATGATTGGCTTTTAGACTTCCATATACGACTACCATTATTATTATAATTTTATTCAACTCCGGTGGAGTAGAAATCATTATATTACAATTCATTGGTTTTGACAACGCGAAGCAATGAATTGTACAATAGTCAATGTCAGACGAATGGCTCTTTACAGGTAATGACTTTACACAAGTTACTAAATCAAAATACGTGACTGAATCGATGAAAAGAGTGTCAGCGTAAGCGTTTGGCGTTTTGGCGCGATGGTTAGTGCGACAGCATCAAAGTGATAGAGGAAGGGGCCTGGGTTCAATTCTGCGTGGAACTCCAAGGTCTAAGGCGACTTTATAGTCGGGCATAGACTCGAGCAGTCCCAGTGCTTCCAACTTTGTGTCGATAGGGTACGGATTTCTCCTCATGTTTGAAGTGCCATTCCGTCTTTCCCTGTACTCCAGGTGCGCTAGCTTGTGCGTTTCAGACAAAGCTGGTTTTTCTTGCGCTAGATATAGATCAATTTGTAGTCGGCGTTACATGTTCGTAAAAAGAATCCATATCCAAGGCAGAATTTAGGTAACGAGCTAACAAATTTCGCTACCTTAATTAAGGAAGTCAGAGTTACTGTCGCCGTTTACTGAGACTTTCACTTAAGGCGTAAACATCTCCAATTAAACTTCCAGCACCGGGCAACTGTTAGACCATAGACGCCATCTTACGCTTTAGCAGAGTCCTGTGTCACTTTTAACATTCGCAAACCCCCTTTCTGTGCCACTACCTAATTTTGTTACATATTAACTAGTTGCATTTCGCCCAAAAAAGATTCGTATTGCCGAGTTCCTTCAGCATAACTACCTCATAAAAGCTTACATCTAATTCTATTAAGAATTCTTTTGTGTCCTAAACCCTAGTGAAAATTTGAACTTAGTTTTTGAACCCAAGGAAATCATAAACACTTTCCAACTGTTAATCAAACTAACGTAAAATACAAATTTAAGAGGAGCGACAAGTAGCCAATTCCATCGCAGCAATATTAGCAGGCAGAACCTGTATATTATCATATGATTGAATGTCACTCTCGCATGGACATTGCTCCTCGCCCAAGAGGCAGATGCACGATCGACGATCTCGAGTCGGCAGTCCAAGAGGATAAAAAAATTAGGATATTGTATGCACTAAATAGATTTTGAAATATCTATATATTTAAATGAATGCTTTTGGGCATATATTCTCTGAAATATTGGATGCATTCAATATTTCAAAATCTGATTCTAATACTTCCAGTCCGCGAGGGCATACAGTACCCCTGCTCGTACCTTGCGATTGGCTGAACCAATTTCCTCGGTTTTGAAGTCTCGGACTTTTCTGAGCAAGCACTTTACAGTCCGCGAAGGCATCCGGGGGGCCAAGGTTAGGGTTACGTGAATATTTTCCTTTTGACAGTAGTCCATTTGGTTCAGAAAGAAATCAAACAATCATACAAATGCTCGTTGGCAATATAGTTTTTTAGAGGCACAAGGTATTCAAAGGTTATCCTATCCATCCACATCACTGCCGCTCGTGCTTGACGAAGATTCCGGGGTAGGATCTTCAACTTCGTCATCGTTGTCGTGTGCAACAAGCACGTCATGCAGATTCACCACAAGTTTCTCACAATACTGAATGCAATTCCGTATCACAGTAGGGGGAAGCTGCGCGAAGGCATCGTCATGACGTTTCCTGATGTGAGCAAACGACGTGTTCAAGGTCTACTGCACACCGACATCCCCTTTCACTTTTGCCCAAACCATTTCTATAGGTTGGAGATCCGAGTGATGCGGCGGGGTAAACACCACGTCATGCCCACGTGCACGGGCCATGGTGATGATGACCGGATCGACGCGATCTACCAACACAGGTTTGAGTCGAGCCCAAATGGTCTTCTTCAAAGCATGACTCTCATCATCCACACCGTAGCGCTGACAGGCCAGAAGCAATTCAGCCTTGCGCCACGTTCCATTGGGGGTGTCTGGCGGCAAACCCTTATGGTACTTGGCGTTATCCATGACGAAGACGACACCTGACTTGCCTAGGGCCTCAACGCTGGCCATGGCACCCGCGAACCACTTGACGAAGTATGCGTGATCGAAAATTCCATGGCAATCTTTGGGGTCACGTTTTCGCTTTTTTCCTCCCTCGAACTTGTCTAGACCCACCAGGTGGGAGTCGCCGTCATTGGATGCCATATTCCGGCGATAAAGCACAGGCGCCGACCTTTGTGCTTCGCCTGTGGTGGCGCGTTGTGGTATGGGTCGTAGAGGCTGTCGTGGTGGTGGGTGTAATGGTGGTGAATATAGCTCTCATCGAGATACACGACCGGTGTTAAAGGGCTCAGTCTTGCCATTCGTTCGACGTATATATCACGAGCTGCGGCATGCGCACTTGAAACACTGTAAGAGGCTTGGCCACGTCATTTTCCACGTTTGAAACCCAGTCGCTCCAGGTACATCTGAACCAACCTTAAACAGGTTGCCATGCTGGGTTTGTCGCTCGTATCGTAGCGAACCATTGATCGGTTACTTTTGACGGCCAATGAATATTGAAACGCAATCTTACTGGACAAAAATACAACCTCCATGAAACTGAGCCTCCATATCTAAATGGCGGGAAAGTAGATAAATTATCCAAGGTTTTTCAAAGTTTGAACTTCTTCATGGCGCTGAAAACAGCCTACTCGGCTGATGCTATGGCTAGCGCAGTAAGCGATGTAATCAAACCGACCCCCATGGTGAACATTGCCAAAAGATACGGTATACCATACCGAACCTTGCGAACCCATGTGACTCAAGCTCAACAATGCAACATCCCATCTGAACCACCTCGCATTGGCAGAAGCCCGTACATCC